AGTCACAAAGAAAGGGTGGTAAGCGTCTCATCTCTCTTTAGGTTCGCCGATTTTCAAGAACAGTCTTGAAATATCTTAGATTTGATCCAGAAAACAAATCAGATTAGACAAGAAATGAGCAAGGAGATATATACAGCCTGAAATCTTTTAGATTTGATCAAAAAAATAAATCAGATTAGACACGAAATGGGCAAAGAGATATAAACAACCCTAAAATCTTTTAAATTTGATCCAAAAAATAAATCAAATTAGACAAGAAATGGACAAAGAGATAAAATATCTATGAGTGAGTGTGTGTAGGCGTGCAAGGGAAAAGCAGCACAGTATTAACCAAAAAAGAGAGGTATGTTGTATTGGCATTGAACGGCGAAGTAGCAACGAAGAGGAAAGTGCTTTTAATCTTACTGCTGCCATCTCTCTCCTTTAGCTCTCTCTTAGAGCATCCGCATCGGAATATCTCCGCATCATCATTTTTTTTTCATTTCAGTAAAAAATATATATATATATTTATATTAAAATTATTATTTTTAAAAATAAATTTAAATAAAAATATATCAATATATATATGATTGTGCAGAGAATAAAATTTTATATAATACAAAAATATAATACTAAATAAATAATATATTATATTATAAGAATATACACCTGCAAAACTTTTTTGCATTTTATTTTTAAATAAAATAATGACATGGCATGTACACGTAAGGAGCGAGAGAGTTTCTCTAAAGAAGATAAACTGGTGATACGGATGGTCTAAAAAAGAGAAACTGGCGATGCGGATGGTCTTAGTAAAGTTCCCTCTCTCCATCTCCCCTTAGCTTCGCTGGTTTTCGAGAACAACCTTGAAATGTGTTAGATTTGATCCATACAACATATTATACACGAAATAGTCAGAGAGATCTATTATATATGTTTGGAAAAAGTCTAGGCAGTGTAGTTTGAGAGGAGAGACAAAAGAAGAGCTTTAAACACAAGTAGAGCGAGCTCAAGCTTATCATATTTGAACTCGACTCGTGTTCGTTCGTTAAGAGATACGAGCTCATAGTTTTGTTTGACCTTAGCTCCTTAGTATTTTTTTTTGTTCGTGTTCGGTTCGACTCGGTTCGTTAAGAGAAATTTTATTTTATTTATTTAATTTTTTAAAAAAATTTAAATTCAATTAAAAATAATTAATTTTTTTAATAAATTTAAATAAAAAATAGAATGAAATATAACATTTATACAGATATATATACTTATTAAATATAAAATTATTAATTTAATTTTTCTAATAAATATTGGCGAACGTTCGCGAACAAACTCGAGCTCGTTCGTGAATATAATGAGTCAAAATTTATGTTTGTATATGGCTTATTTAGTTTAAAGCTCTTAATGGACTCAACCGAGTCAAGTTCGCGAACTGTTCGTTTGTATTACAGCTCTAGATAGAAGTATATATTATGGGAGAAGTAATTTAATCAATAAAACAAGGTGACTGGAAAAGTAGATGGTGGGGACGTGAGTGATGTGAAAGGTGGAGTGATATGGGCATTGGGCATGAGAGAGAAAGGAGCACCTCGACCCCAGCCTCGCCGGCACGAGATTGCATGCAAGGAAGTTGATGTTTTCGACCTGAAAATATAGGTCATTGTGTGATAAAATTTTTTGAGAGGAACGAAAAACCCTTGTGTCAGACGGTGAGGCCCTCCAAATACGAGCCATTGTTGTTGCTCGAGCACATACAACGACACATAAATAGAAGGACTTCTCATCTGTCTCGAACCTTTTTCTTTTTTCCTTCGAAAAATCTCATCCCCACTAATCTAAATTTCAACCATAGAAGTTTGATTAAAAATCGAGTAAGTCCTCGTGCAGGTGACGGCATCATCGACGGTATCTTTTCTCTCTTCTCTGCCCTTCTCTCTCCCCATCTCTCTTCTTTGCCCTTCTCTCTCCCCACTCTCTCCCCCCAATTGCGGACTTTGGTGTTCTCTTCTCCCCAAACCCATTTATATTCCCGTCGCCGACGATCGCTCTTCTCCCTTTTGTTGTCATCTCACCGTCCCTATGCCCGGTCGATGAAACAATTTTCTTCAATGGCGATGGAGGTATGGTAAATTTTGCAGTAATTTCTTGTTTTTAGGGTTATGCTTTTATTTTCTTTTATTCTTTTTTTCTTGATATTTGAGAGTTTTGAGTCGATTGTTTTAGTTAAGATTTAAGATTTTGTGTTTGGAGTTTTTACAACAAAATTTCAAAATCTCTATGTTCTTTCCTTCATTCCAGAGAATAGTTCATAATCTATTTATTTACATCCATTTTAGCATATTTATGTATAGTTTCTGAACTGTGTCCGTATATATGCCTTTTGGTTTTTCATTGAATGAAGTTTAATGTGGAATCCATATGATTGATAGGGATTGATCCAATCTTATTGATATGAATTGCTGCAATTCAACTCTATACAGATCTTTCTCCGTCGCTTGCTATAGAAGGTAATGCATTTTCCAGTCTCAGTTACCAATTTCAAATGATTTCTTCGTATGTTATTATCTCCTCCGGTGCAATTTCCTCTTAGGAACACATCCTACATGTGTGCAAAGTAGTATCAGATTGAGGATATGAATGTGATGCCATTTTTAGATCATGTCTTCAATAGATGAACATCGGAGTAGAACCTTCCCATTCGTAGTCAATAATTGATTCAATATTGTGCCGACCAAAATGATTTGTTACTCATCAATAATTGATTATTTTTTCAACTATTGCATCTACTATGTGGTGTAGTATTCTAGTATGATAGCGACGCGTGCGAACAATACAACATATGTAAACAAGTGTAGTGCATTGTTAATTATTATTTGACCCTTTTTGGTTAGGTGCTCAAAAGATGTAAATAATACAACAACAAATGTCATCTAAAAAAAACAAAAAGATAAAGTAAGGGCAAAAGCACGAGTCAATTATTAAAATATATGGTGAAATTAAGAAATGAATATACAAGTGAAAGATATATCTCTAAGGTAGTTGGTGGATGATTTTTTATAACAAATGCAAGTGGGGTTTGATCCTTGTATTCTTCATTTCATCCTTGATTAATTGAGGTGGTTATCAATAATGAATTTATAGACTGTTTTGACATTTTCTTTTTGTTTTTTATTTTTAATTCTCTTCATAGTACATATCTAATAATGCATTAATTTTCTTTCCAATATCTATCCTTATTATAAATAAAAAATATATATATGATCATACATTCATACACACACATGCATTGTTTTTTATAATAATCCATCCATGGTTCTTGCATTTTCTGGAAAATTATCAAAATGGGTCAATCTGCATTCATTTCAAATTTTCTATTCCATATATAAAAATCTCAATCTTAAAATTATTCTCCAATTCTCTTCCTAGGTTTAAGTTAATATAAATACACTTTGAAATAAGGGAGGTGTAATGGTTAATGGGTTTGTGTGTTGTCCTCCTCCAGGGCAAGCCTCTGCTAATGATAATGATCGGTAACAATAATTAGCCCTTTTAATTTTTGTTTTTTATTTATCACCCATCTACTTTCATATGCTCTTCTACAAATAGTGGATTCATGTGAAATAGCAAAGTACGACGTCCTCAATGTAGTCATGTGTTCTTGGCACACCAACATAATTGAATATCACAGACACAATAAAAAAATAATATATTTATAACGGAATTCCGTCTCTAAAGTTCACGTAGCTAATGTAATTTCATTCTTATTTTCGTCTGTAATGTCATTAGTAATGGAAAAAATAGATTTAGAGACAAAAAAATTTTGTTACAACAATGATTTTTTTGTTATAGTGAGAACTATGTTTCTTAGACAGACCATTATACGTAAGTGTAGTAAAACGAATTTGTAACGAATGATTTTGCTTGGGGATGGATTGTATTGTAATATATATAGAGATTTATCTTACGTGTAGATTATAGACTCTCTCTCCCTTTCTATCATGTTTGCTGTAAAACAACAAAAACTAAAAAAAAAACAAAAAAACAAAAGCATTAATTTCAACGATATCAATTTCTGAAGTAGAAAAAGATAGTTAAAAGTATAATAGAAGACACAAAAGGATGCTTGGCTTGCGTGGGGTTTGTTGATTTCATCTATGAGCTGCATCCGCACATCAATATATATGTATATTATACTGCATAATTCCAACAATTACCAATCCCAATATGAAATAGTAATGTTTGTGGGTGTTGTATTTGTTGTATTTTCATGTTACAATTGTGCAACTATTATGTGTGTTGTCGGTGGCTCAACACAATGATCGAAGTGCATAGGAGATATATTCTTATCCTCATTTTATATTGTTACGTTCATGAATAAATATAATTAATTTTTTAATCCCGTTTTCACTATAATATTATTCATAAACAAGTACTCATCCCAAATTTCAGATAATCCAATAATGGCGGATCCAGCAGAAGAAAACAGAGTGGATGAAGTGCATGAACCAGTGGTGTTGTCTGAAACAAATATTAGGCTCCAAATAGTTCCTCAAAACTCAAATCCTTGCACTGAAACTAGCCCAAATTTTGTCTACTTAACAAATGTCTTTCCCGAGCCACTTTAATATTGGTTTCAGTCGACCTTTTTAATTCACAAGTGCAGTTCTATCCCCAGTACAGTGAACCAACGTTTTTTCCAAATACATGGAATTTTGTACCATCCGGAGCACCACCTCAGGCTCCTTACCAGGATACCCAATGTTCACAGGCCAACACACCGCCTTGCAATCCACATCGGCGATTGTTTCAATCTGAAGCTCCTTCTCGCAGCAACTCTAAAGTAAGGCCAAATGAAAGTAGCCAACGTGCAAATAAGAATTGGAATACTGAGGAGGATCTAGAGCTATGTACAGCATGGTGTAATGTCACAACGGATTCACGGGTAGGGGTAGGTAAAAAAAAAAAAACAAAGTTTTGGGATCGTGTGCGTGATAACTTTGCTATGCTTATGGAAGATAATCATGGGATTAGAATAAATGAAAATAAAAGAACTGCGGGTGCATGTGAGAATTGGTGGACAAAACTTAAATCAAAATGCAGTAAGTGGACCGCAATAAGAGTTCAAGCAGATCGACATTATCGAAGTGGCTGGAGTTCAGCTAATTTTGTAAGTTCGTTTAATTCTTTTTTCGAGTATTGGTATTTCTAAAATACATGTTTTTTCTAAGAGTGTCACTCTCTAATGGCCAGGAACACTTATGTCATGCCACTTTTGAGGAAAAACACGATGCAAAGTTCAAACACAAAGCTTGTTGGAAGATCCTAAAAGATCAACCTAAGTGGTTGGAGTTTGGTAATGGGAAGAAACGCCAACCAGGAGAGCGGTTAGGTAATTGCAAGAATGCTGTAAATGGGGAACCATTTTCGGTACAAGGATCGTTTGACGTGCAGACACTAGTGACCCTAATTGACACCTCCATTGGGGCTACACACATAGATGTAGATGCCTCGGGTGGACAAGCTGGTTACAATGAACTAAGTGGGCCTGCTGCAATAGATCTCGAGCGTCCAATGGGTGTTAAGAAAGCAAAGGCCGGTACCAAAGTAACCAACCAACGGAAACGTAAAATCAGACAATATGAAGAATCTCAAGCCTCGGTTACTCGAACGATAACTGCAAGTTTTATGGCACTTGATTCGTCGTAGAATGACAGATGATCTAGAATGGAGGAGGATAAACTAAGAAAAGAGAAAAAGATGGACGAGCACTATGAACGCATGTCCGAAAGAGTAAATAAGAAGGTTATTTTAACTGGGCTTTACGTTATGTCCATAATTTTAGTAACTATTCTACTCTCCAATGCATTAACATTTTCTACTTATGTTTTTCTATGTACATCGTAGCATAACCTTGATATGGCTAGAGAAAAAAGTCTACTAACTAAGGAGATGGCGAACATTGGTGAGGAGATTATACGTGCATTCCGCAAGCTTGCAGATATGGGCCCAGAAGAACTCTTAACTGAAGTTTCTAGAAAAGAGTATTTGGTACAAAAAGAACAGTTGGAATACTACACCGATGTTCACAATGGTACGTTTGCTTTCTTTTTATGGTTTCATGTTGTTGTAATTGCAATGACAAAACTATTTGGATATAAAATATTAGCAATGTCCATAAATCAAAGCAGCAATTGCAAGCATCAAGATACCAAATTCCCCACCTGTGGACGTCGGTGAATCAAGTGCTTCACCGAATAAAGGTAGAAAATGTAGCCGAGATGCAGACTTGGAAAACATTAGCTTCTAATTGCAGTGGCAACAGCCTGTTTGGTCATTCTTGCAGGCTTAAAGCATACATCTTAAATATTTTTATTTTTTTGTTGGTGTGTGGGATTACTTATAGTCGAAGGTACATCGACAACATGCATATTTTTGTTTTGCACATATATTGTGTGTTGTAGTGGTCTGAGACAGGTTGGAGCTTCGGTTATATTTGGGCAGATATTGTCTTATTTTTGGTTTTGTAATCATGGAAGAAACAAAATATGTGAATATTTTCGAGTTTGTTGCTCCGGTTTAATGCTACAAAGATCTATTTATCCATATCTATATGTGAATATAATAACTATAAAACAAAATACCCATTTGTTCCTAGGGAACATTAGTAACTATCCATATCTGCTTATTCAATATCTATATGTTTTCTAATATATTTATGAATAATATAGATTGCAGGGACCATCAAGTTGATTAAATTTGATACTATGTAGGAAAACAAGATAAAATGTCCTTAAACGAGATAACCTACTAAACTAAGTGGCCACAATTCAACTATAAATCCTCACAATAACTTAATCTTTCACAAATAATTTTTATAATGCATCATAACGGCATAAATCAGAGAGCTTTTAAGAAATGTTCTCACCTCCCGAAAGCATCCATTGATGATTTATGAGATCTTCTTGTAGCCTCTGATTTGTAATTGTATTACGAATTCTTCCCAGCCTTATATGATAGAGTAGGTGAACTTCATCGACTGATTGCTCGTGTTGGGTTACAGTTTGATCTTATTCATTTGTTGGTCTCCATTTCGGGAGGTTTTGGCCACGTTCATCCGCCACGATCATATTGTGCAGTATAACACACATGGTCATCACTCGGAGAAGATCGCTTGTTTTTTTAAGTCTCGCCGGAATCTACAAAATTCGCCATTTTTGTTTGAGTACTCCAAATGCCCTCTCGATATCTTTCCGACAAGCCTCTTGCGAAATTATAAACGCTTTTTCCTTAGCAGTAATTGGATTTCTGACTGCTTGCATAAAGAAGGCATGCTTAGGATATATTCCGTCCGTCAGATAATATGGCAAATTATACAATGTCCCGTTTACCTCGTACTCAACTGGTGGTGCCGTGCCGTCCATGTATTTGTTGAATAACAGCGAATGATCCAAAACGGTTACATTATTATTTGTGCCTAGCATCCCGAAAAATGCATGCCATATCCATAGATCCTGAGATGTAGCAGCCTCCAATATTAACGTTGGGTACCCATAACGTCCATTGTACTGGCCGCGCCAAGCAATGGGACATGCATCCCATCGCCAATGCATACAGTCTAACGAGTCAATCATCCCGAGAAACCCACGCAATTTGTTTTCGGATAAGAGACGCGCAAGATCCTCAGTAGTTGGATCACGTAAATATTGCTCTTTATAAAGGTCAATGATTGAATTACATAACTCCAACGTTGCCCTCCGAGATGTTGTGCCCCCAATCTTTATGACTTCGTCGACGCTATCAAAATAACATCCATAAACTAGAACACACACGGAAGCCATCACTTTTTGCAGTGGTGAAAGGCCCATTCGATTAGTACAATCAGGCCGTTGTGTGAAATATTGATTAAGATTGCAAACATCATGTAAAATTCTGGTGAATACCTCACGACGCATGTGAAATCTCTGCCGAAAAAATGATTCAGGAAATCGAGGAGTCTCAGAGAGATAATCGTTCCAAAACTCTTCATGTCTTTCTTCACGATCACGGTAGATGTAATTCCGTCACCGAGGTGCACCTCTAGCTCCAATGTCAGAAATAAAAGGCAACGAGTGTTGTAATATTTCGAGTTGATCACATTCAAGTTGTAGTAGTAGAAGCATCCTCCGTCGTCTCCTGTAATCACTCTCTTGAACCATCAATTGAAAGTATAATTCTTCGTCGACATGTTGATCACCATCATCATCACTATCCATATGTTGTAGTGAATGAAAAAAAATTAAGGTAAATTCACATGTTCAATTGCAGAAATAAATTGTAAGCCTTAAGATATAGCAATACGGTTTTATAATATAAAATCCAACAACCAATCTTTAATACAATGGGCGTTAGTTAATATGATTGGATTTAAAGTGATTGATATAAAGAAAATAAATGTACAAGACTTGCAATTAATACAAATTGTAGTAATAGGAGGATCAAAAGAAAAAATCTGCATACGATTTGACATGGTTCTGCAAACTAAGACCTACTTTATGTAAGAAAAATCAATACACACTCTCACACTTGCAACTTGCAAGAATTGGTAATTTACTCAATCTTGAAATCGTTTTACAAAGAGATATATATATATATATATATTAAAAGCTACAAATAAATGATGTCTCCTTATGCTTGCAGCCGTGCAACTCCATGTAGTAAAGACAAGAGAATTTTGTATAGGTATGTTATTGTCTTGCAGTAAATTGTGCATCAACAAGAAATGCAAACCTGTCAAAATAAAAAAGAAACAAATATTATATTTATTTTCCCGTTAATTGTAGAAAATAAGGAAAATATAACACATAATTGAATATGAGCAAGTGAGCTATGCCTATACACAAAGCCTATCTTTTAAAAATATTACGTGCATAGCTGATACAACAAAAACTATAATAAGTAAGCTTAGGCATTGTGTTGGTTTATAATAACTATTTATTAGATTGGTACCTTCTTGAACTAACTTTGGATTCAACATCAATATAAATTACACAATCACCTCTGCCTCCATATGAAGTAGGCAACAATGCCAATAAAGCAAGCCTTATGGGAAATTATAAGTTCAAAAGGTAAAACAAGATAACACATATAGAACCTAGTATTTTTAACCGAAGGAATTACATGAGTGAATTCGCTACTATATCATCGACCACTAATTAAAAAAAAACACTAAAAAAAGATAATATGAGATTATTGTTTGTATAGCAACTCTCATTAAGAAATTTTCACATAATAGTTCTTGAACTAGTAAAGTGAACTTCAAAGAACTCAAGGAGAATTTTATTGTTCCTAGTAAAATATTTTACAAAAATAAATAAAAATGATTGAGGTAACAAATACATAGAGTTTGCTTCAAATTAATGTACGTATAAATTAATAAACCTGTAAAGTTATAAGTGTACCCAAAATCCCTACAAAGTTCACAAAGGTACAAGCAACACGATTCAATTCATATGTATTATTACACAAACTTACTGATGATTATAATTTATTTGGAAATTACACAATAAGTGACTCAATTGAATTTAATATCCTATCTTGCCATATACTTGATGGAATGGAGCTATTTTATGAATTATTTGCTACTTACAAGAGAATTGATTGGATTGTGTCTCTTTAGTTCACTGCATTAGGTAAGTAATTAAAATGGAGCAAATGAATGAACGATAGCTCACAGTTTTCGTAAAACTGGGAGGCTTAAAAAAGTTGGTGGGAATAGTTCTAGCCATATTGTTTACTGACAAATCATTGCATGTACAATGACACAATAATTTAAGCAAATGTATACTTTTAAAAAAGAAAATTATATTTCATTTTATAGGTCCAAAGCAATATAGGAACTTACATTGTGGTAATATTTTTAGATAATACCATTTGGAATTATTCCAGTAAGTTGGTTGAACTTAAAACTCTGAAATCCACAAAGACAAAATTATTAAATGAAAAAAAAAAGATATAACAATAAGATAAATAAAAGGATGTAGTATGCCACTGGTTAAGAGTCATAAAGTTTTAAAAAGGTTATGAATAGCTTATACCATAAGAGGAATGACTAATTAGATATGCAGAGCTTATGTTGTTGAGACAAGAAAAAACAAATACAAACATGTTTAATAACTCCCTTCTATAAATATGCAAATCTACCTCTCACAAGACGATGCTCTTCCTTTCACGAATACAAAAGGTTTGATAACTCCCTTTCACAAAAATGCAATCTACCTTCCAATAAATGTACTTTGTACATATTAGCATAGTCATTTGCATATTAATATCGTATATTGCTTAATACACGACCAAAAAAATGGCTATTTGTAGCGGCTTTAAAACCGTTACAAATGGCCATTTTTTGTTATAAAAACTATTTGTAACGATTTTGTACCGGATTTTGGCCGGTGCATATACTCGAGTTACAAAAAGTCTATGTACCGACATTTTCCGTAACAAAAAGTGGACAGTCAACGCGCGTGAGAAATCTTTTTGTAACGGTTTTTGTAACGCTAACAATGTTTTTTGATTTATTTGTAGTGGATGTTTCCCGTAATAAAAGAGTCGTTACAATAAATGTTCATGAATTTGTAATGGCTTTTGTTACGGTATAACTTTTGTTACAATAAACTGATTGTCAAAAAAATATTTTAAATGACATTCATAATTTTTTGTACCGGTATTTGTAACGAACACAATTTCGCAACAAAAAGAGTATCTTTATTTTTTTAGTATAAAAAAAAAAAAATTGTATCGGAACCGAAAAAAATAACTAGTTCGTAATACAACCATTAGTAGCACCAAGTACGCACTGTCTAGGAACATAACTAGTTCGCAATACAGCTAACATATACTGTAATACCCCGATTTTGGAGTGTATAAAATAATATTATTATAGCAAATAAATATTTTTATAATATTTTGGAATCAAGAAATTAATATTGTGGAATAAATTTTATTCCTATTTTATATATTGATTATGATTAAAAAGACTGTTAAACGGATAATATCAATGAGGATAAATATAAAATATAATATATAATTTAATAATATAATATAATAAATAAATAAAGATGATAAAGATGTTAATGTTAATAATAATATAATATAATATAATAATAATAATATAATATATATGTGTATATATATTATACATATATATATATAAAAACAAATAAACCTTACCTCGAAACGAAGGAACGCAGAAGACGAAACGCGAAGGGAGGAAGAAGAAGGAGAAAGAAAGAAAAAAAAAGGAAGAAAAAGATTTAGCTGTCCGATTTTGATTCCGACTTCGGTATTGTATTTCTTGTTATACATAGAATTTAATTATGGATTTTAATATAAATTTAGATATTAAAGATATTAAATTAGAAATTCTTCAAAAATTCAAAATTGGCTATTTAGCTATTTAATCGATGAATTTCTTTAGCTAATAGCCTATTCGTAGTCCTAGTATTATATTTTGAGAATTTCGTACCAATCCAAGTCGAATAAAAAAAACGGCAGTATATTGCACCTGCCTGTTTGTTCATACCTTTGCGTATTTTTATTTAATAATCGGGCAATATAAATATTATGAGGTAGAAGGATTTTATAGCTAGAATATCATATTCTACTAAATATAAAAGTTTGGAGCCCGACGAGTTAATTATAGAAATTAGCTTTTGAATAAGCAGGTAGCTCCTGAGAATAAGCATAAAGCTCATCTGATTTGAGTAAATAATGGGACAGGTGTACGTTGGAGGAGATTTGGGTGAAGTTATAAAATCCAGAAAGTATCGGTAGGAGGTAAGCAGTAGGGAATTAAATCTAATTTTAAGAAATTAGGTATTTATGTTGCATGTGATTCTGATTCTGATATTGATATGATATTATGTGGAATCATTTGGTCAGTACATCTGTATATGTATATATGTGTGTGTATATGCATGTGTGAAACTTCGTTTTACGATATTTGATATACGTATTTGATCGTGTTGGTGAATTTATAAAAAGGAGGATAGGTGGGCCGTCTCACCAGCCCTTTTCATTAAATTCACTTATTGACATGCTGCACACATTGCACGATTTATCGGATATGTTTTATGGATCTATCGTTTAGTCGCCGTGTGCGGTAGTGCTAGGCGAGGACATCATCTGGGGTTAGGATATTCGACCCCGATGTACCGTAACACTTTGGCGATAGTGGACGATAGTAGTCGGACAACTGGGTGACTTAGTCGCACGGTCATTCAGGGATTAGACCCATTGCAGTTGAGACGTATTTGGTCTAATCATTCGGGTTCGGTGTTGTTCCACTCATTGGAGTAGCTACTAGTGAGGTCTACCGGTAGTTTAGGATCAGATGCCAAACTCCAAACGCGATCCCGTTAGGGCGTGCGAGGAGGAGTAGAGTTTCCGGGTTTCCTTCGGGTGATTCCAGGTTGCACGGATTCTACTACGTTACACGGGGTAGGGCTAGACAGGAGGGTCCTATCTTCGCTATCACAGACTATGGGGTGTCTTGTGGTTAATGGCGACAACGTTCGACTATCCATGTATTGATTGCGGGAGTCGTATGGTGGGTATATGGGAGTGACCGGGTGACCGTTATATTATTATGGGTTTACCAGGTCCTTCCTTGAGCCGAGGATTTTCCGGCTATTTATTGATGATAGTCTAGTGAGCTGTTATTATGGAGCCGAGGTTATTCCGGCTGCTCACTTTGACATATGTATATGGGTATATGTGCATGAGTTGTCGATTTTGACATTATTGTTACATTATTTCAGTATGGGCATGGCATGGCATTTATTTTGCAAATGACGGAAATTAAACTCTATTTTCGAGCATGACATGGCATATTTTATGTTAGTTCTTAAAATGGATTTAATTCTAGACTGCTTTTAAGAAAAATATTTGATTCAGGTACGCATGGCACCTCCGGGACAGGGGACGTCTCGGGAGATAGAAAGACGGGCTGAATGAGTGAACTGCATCTGATGTATTATATGTAAATTCTAACTAGAAAAACCTCCCGTTTTGGGAGTATGTTTTTGTAAATATTTATAAACTTGTTTTTTTTGGAAATAATAAAATGCTTATATAACTAATTTTAGCCTTAACACTGTGTTGTGGGGCCCGAAGTAGGAGGTGACGACCTCATGATGCAGTGTGGCGGTAGCATTTCTAGTATGAGCCAACTGGGGGTGTTACATATACAATCCAAAGGCAAAGCATAGCAACAAACACACAAAAGGAAGCAACATATGCAAGTTCAACCTACGTAAAGAACTTAGTCAGTATCAATCCACAAACAAAAGTTATCATCATAAAATTACATGAAATGCTACATCGCCCCATGCAGCGTCAAAGTGAACATACACGGAAGTTACGTGACGAACGAGCTGCAAACATAGTGAAAAAAATATAAGAATTTACTTGCGAGTTGGTTAAGTTATAATCTAATAGAAAGTTATAAAAATGGTTACGTACATCCTTGAATATCCATTCGATTGGCTCGACGTGGACAAACTCACAGAGTGTTTGCACTTCAGATATCGTTCGTGAATTAGCACAGCCTCCGGAACGGTAGCAGCCGTGAAAAAAACCTTTACTATATTAATGGTATAACCTATGTACATATAAAGAAAACATGTGCATATCATCGAAAACAAAATGCAACTCACAAAATTTCATTATCTTAAAGAGGATGATCGATATTGCAGCATTAATAAATATACAAAACAATCATGAGTTAAGAGATAGTCACATGTGGCGTCAAATGCATACCGAGAAAGTATATAAAACTATATATTATCCAGAAGAAATGCTTGCAAGTTTCTAGATTTCCTGCATGAATCGAAAACATAACCTATAATTATTTTTTACAAAATTGATGGAATGAATAAGAGAAGAGACAAGGACAATAGAAAAAAATGCAGCAAAATTATTCCCACTTAGAAGTTATGACCTCTCTTTATTACCAAACCCAAAAGTGTTGGCATAAAACAGTTAACCAAAGGTAGCATCCTACCGAACTGGAGCCCTTGACTATAATGCATATAGGAGAAACCACTCAGACACATTCATTAGCTGAATAATCCAACTATAAAACAAAATCGCAATACTGAATAATAGACAAGGAAATTTTAATTCTACCTTCTTTCAACATATTATAGATGGACACAATATCACCACTAGCTACAAATGTCTTGTCTCTCTACCTTTCAAAATTTTCCAACCATATGTTAGGCGAAAACAAGAAAATAAAATACAAGTGAGTTGGGAGGTAAAAAGAAAATCTTCAAAACTACAAACTCAACATCTGGGTCATCTTCCCAACTTCTGTACAATGTCTAAAGCCTGTCTACCTGTGATGCACATAGATTTAAATATCATGTACTCATGAGAGAAGTATTGAATTGATTATTAAGTAGCATTTCAATATTCAAGATATCTCAAACTTTACCGTAAGCAAATAAATTATATTTTTTGATAATTAAAAGAAAGTAATTTATAGATATAGTCAAGCCAAGGTTTTAGCCTAAAAAATACGGAGCCATTTCTCTAACTATTGATGTAGTTAATCAGCTTGATTCTTGAGCATATACATAATGTTATTCTCCAATGCATTCAACTTAGTTCTGAGCAATATAAATTGATTATGCTCAAGTGCAAGACAAACATGTCCAAACAATACAGGTAAATACCAAGCCCCATAAATTTTAGGCAGACAAATTCCCACAAACAAAATAATGCAAAAACAAACAATTCATTTTCAAAAATCACAAAATATATCAATGCAATAGATTGGATTTTCATAAATCAACCAATAAACCCATAAATTAAAAATAAATGCATAGCTCTTTTCACTTGGCCTAGCTCATGATATAAAAACAGTTCATTATAATGATTACCCATTACACTCAATGTGAAGAAACTTATGAAATCATCAACACAAGCAATCCATAAAGTTAGTGAACAATTTCTATTGTACAAACCAATTGACAAATAATAAGTTGGACTTCAGCTAGCGATAAGTTCAGACATAGCTACTGCAACAAATGAAGAAAAGTCAATCTCCACAACTGAATTGTCAAAACACAAGCTTGATTACACTTTTGCTTTACTACCTATATGAAAGTAATATTTCCTAGTAATTTTGATAATTTTCATACATGAAATAGTGTCAATTATAGCCATACTGCCGTGACTAATCAAATCTGCAAGAAAAATTCTGCTAGGATTAATCCAGTATTGATGTCTGCATCCTCGTAGAAATGCAGTAATAATTATAGAATAAATCTGTTGGTAGATAACAATGCATAATTGACAGAAATAAAGATCACTTTTTCATTGAATTTGTTGATACATCATAAGAAAACAGTTGAGGAAGTGTTTGCTTGCTTAGTAGAAACGTCTCCCTATATACCAGACGAACAGAGGCATAGCATCATGCATTACAAGACATAGAGAGAGTTTAGAGAAAATAACAAAGAAATAATGTTTGAAAGGTGAAATTTTAGTTAATAATAGCTAATTCATACACGATAACATTCTACATCACAAATCCACACTTCCAAAGAGCTAACAATAATAACATAACTAGTATGTCTGGTTTCGTATAAAAATTAGAATTTCATACTGGCTGTGCCTATTAATTTTAAAAAACACTAGTAAGTTTGGTTTCGTATTTACTTATTTTTTTAATTTTTGGACTAAATAGATATTAAAATATTTTTATAAAAAATTATTAAAAATATCTAATAAATAACTTTTTAGTTCACTGTAAATGGAGGAAACCAGCCCTAAATCTAACATTATGAACAAAATTTTAAAAAAATAAAAGCCTAACTAGTTAAAAAATACAAAAATAAACAAATTCAAACTTACAGGAAAAATTAGGGTTCGCATTTGAGGACATCAGCGGGCAGCGGCGGAGCGCGATCGATGGGTTGATGAAGGGTGCGGCGGAGCACGGTGGACGGCCAAGGAAGGTGATGTAGGAAGACGAAGAAGAAGAAGACGAAGACGCAAGAAGAAGAACGAAGAAGACGAAGACAAAGACGCAAGATGAAGAAGAACGCAGAGAAGAACATAGAAGAAAAGGATCAAAAAAATCAGAGGAAAATGAGGGGGGAGGCTGCGACAATTAGGGTTATGCAATGGTAAAGTTGAATATTTTATTTCATTTATATTTTTTAATTGTATATAGTAATTTTATTTTTTAAATAAATAATTATTTTAATTTGTATAGATTAATATATAAGTATAAGTATTATGTATGTATTATATATGATATATATGTTCTCTAAATATGATATATTATTTTAGATTTAGTTTGAAATTTAAAATAAAATTATTTTGTAGTTGTAACGAAACAATACCGCAACAAAAGGAAAAAGGTTGACCAAATCGAAAACACAATTTGTTACGGTAATAACCGGAACAAAAAATATCTTTTGTAACAAAAAAATTGTAACGGATGCGATTTTGCTACAAATGGCCATTTTTTTAGTAGTGGTATTTGTTGTAGAGTGTTCGAAATTAGTATATTTAGCGCTTTTGTTTTTTCAATGTTTTTCCTTTATATTATATAGCATGTTATAGATTATACTTACTTTGTGCTCTATAATTCTAATTGCAGTGCTTTTCGTATTTGTTGTAGAGTGTTCGAAATTAGTACATTTAGCGCTTTTGTTTTTTTAATGTTTTTCCTTTATATTATATAGCATGTTATAGATTATACTTATAAGTATAGGTAAAGAAAAACCACACCAAACAACTTCGATAAAGGACTATTGAGCCGAAAGTAATAACTTAGACTATTTTAATGTCCACTTACTTACATATAAGCAATATGTGGACTATTCCTTCAATCATGACTCGAACTTTGTAAAATACAGTACTTCATACTCCTAATACATACAAATAAAGCAGATTGTTAACAAAGAATTATTATGCATATATATCTAAGAATACAACTCCTGCACATTCATTCTCAAACTTGTGAGAAAATTTTAAATTTAAAGAAAAGGAAGCGTTTGAAAAACTGAAAAATTGCTCAAAGAGAATAATACATTCACTTACAACATCATCAAGTTAGATATGTTTCCATATGAGCACGGTATTGGACAGCCACCAAAGTTGTTATTATCAAGCTGCCTGTGAATACCTTCGAAATTATTTGGAAGTACTCAAATACAAATAGAAGAGAAGAAGAGAATAGGAGAGAAATCGACAAGAAGATCCCACCAGAGATCGATTGGATATAGGTTGTCTGTTACCCACCTCTTTCAGTCGCCGGCAACCGCCGGTTTGATTGGGATGAAAGGTTTGGCGAAGATTGAGAATCGATTGGATACAGGTTGTCTGTCGCCCACCTTCTTCAGATGCAATCACCCGTTCGATTGGGATGAATCGTCGCCCACCTTCTTCAGATGCAACCGCCGGTTCAATTGGGATGAATCGCCGGTTTGATTGAGATGAAGGGTTTGGCAAAGATTGGGAGATTGATAGGGTACAGGTTCTCCGTCGCCAACTTCCTTCGAACGCCGGCAATCGCCGGTTTGATTGGGATGAATCGCCAGTTGGGATGAAAGATTTGGCAACGATTGGGTGTGAATATTGTGTGCGAGGAATATTGCGAGAAAGAATTATGAAGGACCGAAAAAAAGAGCCACTATGTTTGTTTGGAAAATGAAAGAATTACGAAGGACCAAAAAAAAGAGCCACTATGTTTGTTTGGAAAATGAAAATCGATACATATCCCGTTATAATTGACACATAGGATACACGTAAGCAAATTGAGGGTTTTAACTTGCACAGCGGTGTATGTGCTCTCACCGTTTTGCTCCAACACCGCTACTCCTCTCTCAAAGGTCTCACGAAATAATCTCAAATAATTTTGCCTCTCTACCTTCAAATCTTGCTTTCAAGCTATGGAATAATATTTTCTTCAAAAATCGGGATTTGGGTTATTACGATTTGGATTTTGAATTCGAATTTGAAGTGGATGATTTCAATTTCGAAATGGGTGGTTTCAATTTTCAATTCATTAGCTATATAGTCATGAAAGGTGGAAAAGCTTTGGATCTCTACGGTAGACCTGAAACTGCATTTTCAAAAATATTCGAAGAAATACAACTGGCCGCTGCACCACGTCTGTCGCCGCTGAAGCAGGCGGCGCAATTTGGTGATCCTATCCGTTGATTTTCATTGTTGATGTGAATTTGCAAATTTTTGTTTGCAAATGATTACAAAGTTTCAAATTATGTTGTTTTTTTTTTTTTTGGTGTTTTTCAGCAACTTTGTCCATACAAGATCCTTTATGTTTTCTTTAGTTTAAGCTAACAATTATATCCATTTCTTTTTTCTTTTTTTTTTTTTTATCGGAACAATTATTGGTTGAGAAATTATATGATTTTTATCTGCAATTTTGCATCATATAAGTAACTAGTATCATGACAGTGCTTGTTATTCTATCTTTATTGTTTGTCCAATCTATTGGTTGTAAGTTGATGCATTGTTTTAATTCGATAGTTGTTTTAGTTATGTTTTTCCTTGTTGGCCGGTGGAGCTTGAGTGGAATTGGCTTTGGTTCTTTTGTAATTGGTTGGGGGAGAATCGGTTTTCATAGATGTGATCTGGTTGGGATGCCTGGCTTTGATTTTCGCTTGAAGATGGCAGGCTTTGTTCCTTGATTAATTGGAATAAATAGTGAGGACTTGTGTAGATTTGGTGATCGTAAGGCCAAGTCTGTCTTCGCCTCTTTTTTTTTTGTATTCTTGTGGATTTTGTTGTTGATACTGTCACTACAAAAAATAATAGTATATTTGTAACGGAATTCCGTTCCTAAAGTTCACGTAGCTAACGTAATTTCATCTCTAATTCCGTCCATAATATCATTAGTAACGGAAAATGTGAATATAGGAACGAAAAAACCTCGTTACAAAATTGATAATTTCTTGTAGCGTGTGATGATTTTGGGCCATGAAATTTTTATGTGTTTTGAGGAATTTATTTGAAGGTGTGTCGCTACAAGAAAAGAATCATTTTTGTAACAAATTTTTTTTTGTCTTTAAATCTACTTTTTCCGTTACTAATGACGTTAGAAACAAAATTAAGAATAGAATTACGTTAGCTACGTGAACTTTAGGGACGGAATTCCGTTACAAATATATCATCTTTTTGTAGTGTGTGTGGTTGTGGCATCTTCAAAAATTTGGTGTGAACGATTGTAGTTTGAAGCCTGTGTTGTTTTTGCATGAGTTAAAATTGATTATCTAAGATTAGCTTATTAGTGAGGAGAAAATACAGAAGAGGAAGTAATCGGTGGCGGATTCAAATGTATTTTTAAGTGGATGCACAATTTAATAAATTATCATTACAATATAAAATAGGTAAATTATAATTGTTCCTTACGCATTTTTAATCACATTATTGTTTGCATCACTTCTAATAAAGTGAAAATAATAATAAAGATGGGATTAAAAGTTGGATAGAAGAGAAAATTAATACTTATCTATTCCAAAACTATAGTTTTAGTTGTGTTTGACACGAGATTTAAAAAAATATTAATATTATATTGGTAGCTGTTAAATGTATTGGTAAAAAGCTTTTTTTTTTCTTTTTTTTTTTTTATCCTTATGAGTGTATTAGTGTAAAAAGTAGTGATATGTATGTAATAATAATAAAAATGTACGAATAAGTTTATGGTGATATGATTATTTATGAAAATGAGACTATTGTTTTATGATAAACAAAAATGGTAAACAAAATTATTGTATTAAAACGGAAGAGTACTATATAATATAATTTTTTTTAGAGAGAGAAAAATTGAGTATGTGTGGATTTAAAATTTGAAGGAAATTTTAGAGTAAATTTAAGAAACATATATAGTAGGTTGAAAAAAAAAATAAAACAAAAACAAAAACAAAAAAGTAATAATAATAATAATAATAATTTGTTTGTTTGGTGGAATTTTTAGTTACGTTGGTTCGTGAAATTTGGGTTTTGAATTTGTGTTTTGAATAGTACAATTTTGAATTGATATAGTTTGTTTAACTAAATAAATATGTATTGATTTAATACTGCGAGTATAAGTTTAATTTTTAATATATAATATTTTGTATATTTAATTTGTCATTTAAAATTTTATATTGATTTTGTAAAGTTTTTTTTTCTCTTTAAATACATTTTAATATTATTCAATTGGTACAATTTTCAATAAAATTATATTATTTTTTTATATAAATATTACATCAAAATTTTATTTTAATCAATATTCAAATCAAACACTCAATTTTAAATCAAAACTGAACATGTATTGGTGTTTTAAGTCTCCTATTTGGAGTTCTATTATTTTCTTTAATAAATTATCACGTCAAAATTTTATATTAATGAACATTACAATCAAACAATCAATTTTAAATCAAAACTAAACAGTATTTTAAGTCTGTTATTTGGAGTTTATCTGACCTTATGTTTGTTATTAACTTATTATTTATACTTTTTTATTTATAATTTAATTAAAGTTAAGAATAACATCATTAATTTACAGTTTTGATGAGTTTTTTTTTTTTTTTCAAATTCAAATTAATATTATTGAATTCATACAATTTTCAATAAAAATATTTTTTATATAAAATATAACATTAAAATACTATTTAAATTAAAATTTAAATCAATACTCAATTTCAAAACAAATTTCAAACAACAACCAAACAAAACCCATAAAATTTAACAGTATTGAATTTATTCCAATTAACCTACCATTATTGATCTAATCCACATTATTAATTCAAATCGAAGAAAATTAGTTAAAATAGTAAAATATACATAGCGTGACAAATTAAGAGATGACTAACACCACACTTGATGTAAAATTATAATCTCTCTACCATTTAAATATTTGCGTTAAACCTAACCTTTAGTTGAAGAAATCTTTCATTACAACGTTACACAATGAACACAATAGTTGTATTTTGGAGACATGTACAAGAAATAAAATTTAGTAATGATTCAATACTAAGAGCTTTGGGTAACTCGGATTTTTAAATTTAATGCTTAAAAATTACTCCCTCCGTCATTCAAATTTATGTTCACTTCCTTTTTGAATTGTCATAAAAAAAGTTTTTCGTTTTTTTTTAAGTAAAAAATCATTACACTTTTGTATTTTTTTTACTATAAAAGAAAAAAAATAACAATTATTACTCACTTTTATTAAAACTCGTGTCCGATCAAGTGAGCACATATTTGCATGACGGAAGGAATATTTACAAATTCTTACGGTCTATTTACATATTTCAGATATATTTCAAGATACATGTCAATATATAATATATATATATTAATACAAAAACTTCCTCTGTTTCAATTGAAATATATTTTTTACTATTTTTATATGTTTTATTTAAATATATATATATATATATTATTACAGTAAAACTAACGGAATTGAGAATTAGCCCCCGACGATGCTCCATAGTAAATTTGGTTGTGTCTCGGATAGTTTGAGTAGTAATTGTAGTAGTAGCAAGCTAGTGTATATATATATATATATAGTAGTACTCGTTAAAACGCGCTACGCGGCGCCGCTTGTTTGTTTGTTTCAATTTTTTTGTAAGGAATAAGTTGTTATGTTGTGTATTTTAATCAAGGAAAATATATAATTTATATGTAATCTATGTTATTTTGAATATTAGGTGTGTTTTAGATTTCAGTAAACTGAACAAAGGTTTGTTCTGACATAAGGTTAAGAAATTGGATTAAATTTTTTATATTATATTAAAAAATTTATATTTAAATAAAATTAAATACGAAATAAAATATACCAATTGTACTAATTGTAATAACAATTTAAATAAAAGTTGTAATAGAGCAACATCATGTTGTAATCACTCGAAATTATAATTTTTTGAAATGGTTTAGTTATCTTTTATTCATTTGATTGAACAGAGGAGAATAACTAAGTCCCTGCGCAATAATAGAGTAATCTAGCATTCCAGTCGATTATGTTTAACATATTGTTATAAGTAAGTTATAAAAAAAACAAAAAACAAAAAAAATATAGATATTTGTAGTGGCGGGATTCGTCGGATGAGAATTAGAACATACGTGGATTCGATTGGGATGGAAAGAGGAGAGAAATGGGCTGATTTGGTAGGATGGAAGAAGGAAACCGTCCAGCGGGTTGGTAAAGAAATACGATATGTAGCAGCCGATTCCGTCGGATGAGAATGAGAACAAACGTCGAATCGGTTGCGATGGAAATGGGAGAGAAAGGGGTTAATTTGTTCGGATGAAAGCGCTAAACCGTCCATCGTTTTTTAAGGAAATAGAAGAGATAGCGGCCGACTACTTGGGAAGGGAGTGACAGCAGGAGTCCATTCGGTTGAAGTTTGGTATGTGGAAGGTCGGTTTATCTTTCAACAAGTGCTTTTTTCGGTCGGTGAGCCTTTCGTCAAGTTAGAAATTATATATATTTGTATTTTGGAACGTCCAATTACAAAGTAACAATTTCATTACAGATCTTACTTTTTTTCATAAATACTTTTATTTAATATCACATTATTACTTTTACCCCCAAAAAACAAGGCCAAAAATGTGATTACAATTCTTTTAATTATCCAGTATAACTAAAGTACTACTTTAACGGCTGCATCCGTAGTTGAGAGCCCCGTACAATGCATGTTATTTTGTACTTTTTGTGTGTTTTAATTCATCCAATTCTTAACAAATGAATATTGCAATTTGGATTG